TTGATTTGAACCTAACATTCCTAATTATCCTCAAAGCAAATTAATTAAAGGGATGATTTGAGCATATCATCTAAATCTGTTTAGCTAAATTAAATAAAATGCTCAGAGGTCTGTTAGACATGGCTGGGTGGACAGCTAATCATAGTCATGGCGAGTATATCATTAACAATGAAGTCTTGCCTGTCTGTAGAAAGCCACATTGTGGGGTAATTACATGGAAAACACACCACAGAACCCTCACTGCAAAAACCGGGACATATACAAAGACTACAATCCTGTGTCAGAGCAGACTGCTTACCAGGCTACATTATAGTCAACTCGTGATTTCTTGTACGTCACCATCACCAAGATCTCCCCGCCATTATTCCTGACTGTTCCTGTCTACCTAGGAGTCTTGATGTTCCTGCTTACATTTGTGTAAATCCAGCCTCTTATTGCATTCCCCATGACAGGATCTAAAAGAATCCAGAAGGGAGAGTGAACCCTCATAAAGGACCACAGGTGTGCAGACCCAGGAACACAAATTTAGAGTTGCTGAGAGATGTCTGACACTGTTACATGGTTAAAAGGCTAAGTTTGCAGTCCCCCCATGACAGTGGGCAGGTGTTCCACTCCCAGCTTTCACTTTTCAAAAAACAGTGGGGCTCCACCCGCACAGTTGCATCAGACACAGCAATCTGTGACTAAGAGAACTACAAGTCCGTTTTGCACTGCAGCAGATGGCTTGTAGTTCTCAATGAACAGTGAGGGTGCTGAGTAGCACGGTCATAGTTCATTCACAAGTCCTGCAGCTTTCAATCTGACAACCTGTACAGAGCTACTGATTAAAAGATGTAAGCCTTGTTTGCAGAGCCTGACGCTGAACATGTGATCCACTTATAATGGGTGCAATGCTCTGAAGGCTCCTGCAGGGAAAAATAATAAATACACATTTTTTCTGCAAAAGGTAAATTTATGCTTTAACTTTTCAACATCTTCACTGAAATATACACTCACCAGCCACTTTATTAGCAACACTTTGCTAGTGCCAAGAAAAAAATCCCCCACACCATTACACCACCACCACCAGCCTGGAATGTTGATACAAGGCAAGCTGGATCCATGCTTTCATGTTGTTTTCACTAAATTCTGACCATCTGAATGTCGCCACAAGTCTGCCCATTCTCCTCTGATCTCTGACATCAACAAGGCATTTTTGTTCACACAACTGCTGCTCACTGGATATTTTTCGGACCATTCTCTGTAATCCCTAGAGATGGTTGTGTGTGAAAATCCCAGTAGATCAGCAGTTTTTGAAATACTCAGACCAGCCCACCTGGCACCAACAACCATGTCACACTCAAAGTCACTTAAATTCCTTTTCTTCCCCATTCTGATGCTCAGTTTGAACTTCAGCAAGTCGTCTTCACCACGTGTAGATGCCTAAATGCACTGAGCTGCTGCCATGTGATTGGCCGATTAGCAATTTGTGTTACCAAGCAATTGATCAGGTGTACCTAATGAAGTGGCCGGTGAGTGTAGGTTTTGGATAGACTACCCCTTTAATCTACTATTGTAAGCATAGTCAGGACCTTTATGGCACTGAATATGACAAAGAAACAAACTGCCTCCAAAGACAGATAGATTAATCTCCATCAAATCTAAAAAGATATGTCGTGTCAGCAAGCAAATTTAAGTATATTCATAAAACGTCCACTATCCTGAATTGAGGGATAATCCTCCAATTTATGGGATTTGTGATGGAATGAATCATGTGAACACCTTCTGGCTTGACTGTTCTATGCACTGGTTCAGTGAAGGGTTTCTTTCATCCCTACCCACCATACTCTTTTTTTGTTGGCTCGGCCTTGTTGAGTCCCAAGCCCTATTGCATAGAAGCCATGGTTTCCATACACAGCACACATGGCCAAAAAGCCTGAAACAGCCCTATGCAGTTTGCAATAAAAAGCTCTACTGTATATCAGCAATTCTGGATGTAGAATTGGTCACTGGGGTGGAAAATAATTATTTGTGTGGCTCCTCCCGCTATCCAGAAATTAGGAATAATCCTTAGTTTTAGAATCTTTTATGGAATGATAAATGTGAATATGTAAAGTGCTGCGTAAATTGATGGCGCTATGTAAGTACCTGAAATAAATATCTTTGGTTTTAAAAAGGCTTTGTTGATCTATGCACTTGGTTTATTGGAGGGCTTTTTGATCCCATTCATTCCTTCTCTCCATAACCTTCATAGTTACACATTCCCAGTGTACCCTTAAAACAAATCCAAATTATTGCAAGATATAAACTAATTTTACATAATTGTGTGTCAATAAGACCCAGCATGTAAGGAAAACAATTTTCATGGCAGGTCATCCATTAAGTAGACTGGAGGGACTGGTCTAGTTTTCTAATATTCTGTACATTACAAGGAGACATGAGGACACTGCGAATGTCTTACATACCATCACCAGCAGATATATAAAAACACAGAATCTCTTGTGTATGAGCACCTTTGAGTGTTACCATTACTCTAACTCAGGGGTGTCAAACTGGCGGCCCTCCAGCTGTTGCGAAACTACAAGTCCCATCATGCCTCTACTTTTGGGAGTCATGCTTGTAACTGTCAATCTTGCAATGCCTCATGGGACTTGTAGTTTGGCAACAGCTGGAGGGCCACCAGTTTGACACCTGTGCTAACTAGTCCAAAGTTTGTATTTAAGTTGATAACAACATGCTTTGAGCCAGTAAATGGCATCACCCTAAATCCTAACTTCTACTTTGTCGACGGCCAACACTTTACAACTAGAAACACTGGTATATATTTTGTGCAAAACTTTTCTCCTCACAGATAACTTGATTCATCAGTTGAAAGGTCAACGTTAATGGTGACCATTGGGCCACCTACAACCCTCCAAAGCCCTGACCCTCCTGAGCTTGGCCGAGTATACATTTTATTTCAGATTTTCATTGTAGATTACTGAAAAAAAGTAAATACAGCATTATCACATTACATGGCATCCCTGCCAGCGTGCCTGACACTGCTTGGCCATTTGGTCACAAGACTGACCACCATATGAGAAGACACCATGGAAGACACATTTTATGGTTTTATGTTTCTTTTTTTTCTTTTACAAAGGAGTAGGGTGTGCATTGCTGTATGTTCACTTTAAAAATTCTTATCTGGCTAATATTAAAAGGACCGTAATGTGCAAAATGGCTGTAACTATAGCATATTTCAGTTGATAGTTGTTTAAAAAAGTGACTTTTCTGGGTTGCTACACAATCGAAGTGATTGCAGAGTGCAAAATCTGATGCTGTTGACATAAAAAAAAAAAAAAAAAAAAACTGGAAGCTGATTGGTTTCTATGCAGTGCTGCACCAGATTTTGCACTCTCCAGTTTTAGTAAATCAACCCCACTGCATACAGATGATGCACTTTGCAAAGCCTTATAGAATATGGCACATAGCATTGGTTGGTCTAAGAGTCCACCACAACACTACTGATAAGCTCAACAGTGTTCCATGGAGTGCGTCACATGCTGCTCCTGGTAGTACCAGGTACTTTCATTGGACTCCAGTGCTAAACAGAGTGGTGGGGAAAGAAAAAAAGGAGAGAAAAAGGAGAGAAAAAGGGGAGAGAAGGAAAGGTAACTCTATGCCAGGGATGGTGGAATTAAACCAAACCTGTTACAGTACCTTGCACTGAATGGGAAAAGCAGAGGCTTGATTTACCATATTACAGTTCCAACCACTGGGCAGACTAGTACATCATCACCCAGACCATGCATTCATAGGCATAGGATTGCTGTGGAAATTGTCCATTCAATATACTATACACTAGGGTTTATGTATGAACTGCAAACAGAGATGCCATATACAATAAAGCAAGGCAAACTGCAATCACTATATGCAAAGTGCTTTAACTCATGGTCACTAAATTTCAGTTTAGCTGCATCAGTAAATGGCCTGTCGTGGGTCATTATGCTTTCACAAACTCCTTGCCCTACCTTTACTATTCTTCTCTTTCACTATCACACATAATGCCATTGAAAAGACCACCTAAAAATTACAGCAACATTCTTGTGACTCTCCTTTGTAGTCATGAACTGTAGTCACCAACTGAATTCGGACACAAAGCTGGTACTGCACAATGGCCAATCCCAGGTTAGTACAGACATTTTATAATCAAGTAAATGATGACCAGTCCTAAAATACCTGTAAACCTGTCTCCACTGAAAGAAAACAATCTGAAACATACAAGTAGAAAGAAAAAACTTGGTCCCAGCTTGGGCTTTGTGTGCCATAGAGTATAAAGAATATATGATAACATTGGACAATGACATAAATGTATTGACATAAAGCACACATTCTGCTGCAAAGGTGAACAAATATAGATTTCAGTAGACATTCAGCCCATAAAGCACTTTGAAGGCATTCGCTAATATGAGATTCTTTTATTACTGAACATAAATGTTCATAAAACCTAGTGGCCGGCTGTCATTTATTGTCGGGGGTGTTGGCTGCCTGATTTCTAGCATTTGTCCAGTGTTGGGGTGCTGTTAATACACAAACCAATCAGGTGTCTGCTTCAGCATGGGCATTCCAGCAAATGACAAGCAGGATATTTATTTATTTCAGGTACTTATACAGCACCGTCAATTTACACAGCACTTTACATTTATACAGTACATTCACATCAGTCCCTAACCCTCAGGGAGTTACAATCTAAGGTCCCTAACTTACATTCTTACATACACATACTAGGGCCAATTTAGACAGGATCCAGGTAACCTACCAGCAGGTCTTTGGCGTGTCGGAGGAAACCAAAGCACCCGGAGGAAACCCATGCAGGCACAGGGAGCACATGCAAACTCCAGGCAAACGACTCTAGTACTGCTAGGAGGAAGTACTAACCATTTAGTCACTGTGATATGACGTAGGTATCATGGATATGTTACAGACAGTTGCATGCTGCTCTAGTTAATGTGTACATGTAATGCATTTTCTACATTTCATACCTTGTATCTCTCTATTGGGTCTTCCTGTTGCAGCTGACTCTCTCGCATTGCCAGATATTCCTTCTCATACTTCTTCAACTTCTTTGTAGGCACCTGAAAAAAAACCAAAATTGTATTACATGTAATGTTAGAAGCTTGCCACTAGAGGGACTTCATGCTTCCTTTAATCATGAAAACAAACTTAGGAAATAGATGCAGTTACCATTTTTCCCACCAGATGGCAGAACCTGCCTCCTGAAAACAGAGAACAGCTGATCTTTAGCCATAGCAACTGGAAGGGAACAAAATGTTGCCATAGCTTTGCAGGCAGTGCCGGTATTCCTTCCACTACTAGGTTCTTGCTGTAACAAGCATACACCCTTGAAACCCTTGTAATGCAATCTCATCAAGGTGCGTCATCAAGGAATGTCTTCATAAAAGGTTATAAAACCAAAATAAACACATTTGTAGGCTGTTTTAAACAGCCATAAAATCTAATAGAAAGTGTACTCTGGCCCACGCCTATGTCTGGATGACATCTACAGCTCTCTCAACATATATGATTTCCCCCGGTCTTGAAAACACATCACAGTGTATTTTGCTTTTCTTATTACATGTTTTGATGTGGTATCCACATTTTTACATGCAGGGTGATCCAGAGTTTCATGGCAATACTACATGTACTTGGGTGGTATGCTCTCCCTTTAGTGACACTGTCAAACAGTGTAGTTAGCTTCCTTGCTGAAAGACCGATGAGAGCAAATCTGATGAGTGTCTACCAACCAAGTACATGTAGTATTGCCATTGAACTCTGGATCACCCTGCATGTAAAAAATGTGGATACCACATCAAAAAATGTAATAGGAAAACAAATACACTGTGATGTCTTTATAAGGACAAGGAGATCATATACATTGAGAGACCTGCAGATGTTATCCAGATATAGGTGTGGGCTAGAGTACACTTGTGGATATTGCATTGTGCTTAGGGAATGAATAGGAGTCTGAGCTGACCCACAAACCTGCATCAAGATGATAGACAATCATCGGCAGCAATACCGAAGGAAGTATAGAGCATATATTTTCAAGCTATAGAGGTCTTTTTGTATTTTTAATATATATTAGCAAACAAACTTTTACTTTTTAGATACAGTCAAAGCACACTGAATTTTGTTAGACGGCAGATTCAACAACAAAAGGTTTTTATGTTACACACACACGGAAATAAGTATTTGATTCTCTGCTGATTTTGAATGTTTTCCCACTCACAAAGAAATGATCAGTCTAAAAATCGAATGGTAGGTGTATTGTAACACTGAGTAACAGAATAGCAACAAAAAATTCAAAAGAAATGCATGTCCAACAAATTATGCACTGTTCATGAGGAAAATAAGTATTTGATCCCCTATCATTCAGGATTTCTGGCTACCAGGTGTCTTTCATACAGGTAACAAGCTGAGATTAGAAGCAGTCTCTTAAAGGGAGTGCTGCCAATCTCATTTTCTTACATATTTAAAAAACACCTGTCCACAGGAGCAATCAAACAATCAAATTCCAAACTCTCCCCCATGGCAAAGACCAAGGATGTCCGGGACAAGATTGTAGACCTACACAAGGATGGACTGGGCTACAAAACTATCGCCAACCAGCTTGTCACTTTCCTCCACCCCAAACTCGCTCATCCATGTCTTTATGGACCTTGCATTGTGCACTGGTACGCAGTCATGTTGGAACAGCAAGAGACCATACCCAAACTGTCCCCACAAAGTTGGGAGCATAGACTTGTCCAAAAATGTCTTGGTATGCTGATGCATTAAGAGTTCCCTTCACTGGAACTAAGGGGCCGAGCCCAACAGGGCTTCCTTCTTCACCTGTTCTCCCAGGTTTGTGGACTGTGGCCACTTGAATGGCTGAGTCGCAATGACATCACTCCCAAGCAGGCGTGCAGGAGTCATGGCCGCGGCCCAGAGCTCTGCAGGGACAGTGTGAGTGTGCTGTCCCTTCAGAGCACATGCGTTGGTGACTTCACTGACTGCAGCAACAGTAAATATCTCCTATATAATGCATGTTTAGGAGATATTCACTGTTCCTACATGTAATACCTATTATAGGCTTACCTGTAAGTACAACTGAAAAGCAGACTTTACTACCGCTTAACCTCTCTTGAAAATTATATTTGCCAGTCTGTCATGCTGACCCTCTGGCAATCGTCCTAGTCACTGATCCAGAACCAGTAATGCAGATAAGCGACCATTAGGGATGAGTGAACCAAGCAATGTTTGATTTGCTCGACATTCACAAAACCATGAGGGAGATCTACGAACTCCGCACATTAACGCCCAGGCCCCACTGAAGTTGAGTTGAACAAAAAACAACAAAAAAAAAAAACCACATTGGTCCATAATATAAATTCCTCTGTCACATTGTCTGATGAATCGTGATGAATGACCCCCCATGACCCGCTTCACAACGATCCACTCCTGTCCCACTCCTGTTGCAATTGACAGTTCCCAGACAGATGCTAAATGCCAACAAACCAGCTGGGGATGCTGGCTGACATCACTGACCATACAGAGTATGGTCAATGATGTTCCCGGGACCTTTTCACAAAGTGTAATAAGCTGGCAGGGGAAAGCTGTCATTTAATGGTGGAAGTGATGTCGCCATTAGAAGACGGACTTTCAGATACAGCAGTTGGAGGTTAGGTTAGACAAATGTACTGGCCAAATCTTGCCATTTACTTCATCCATTCACCAAACTGCAAACAAACTGGGTTTGGGTCAAATCTATGGTCAACCCGAACCTCAGGCTCATCCCTACCAACCATACATGTTACAAGCTATGTAGTGCACAGAGTTGCCTGATGGATACAAACTCAATAGAATGTTTAGACTGGCCCTCAGAACAGATTCATTACTGTCATACAATCCTAGATTGTGAGCTCGAAAGAGCAGGGCCCTCGAACCCCTCGTGTATTGTATTGTTACTGTCTTGTCTCATGTTTTTTTTTTTTATTTATTTAAATATTTATTAATTTTTCATAAAGATAACAATACACTTTCATCTTTTTCATAATAAATACACAATTCCTTCTTATCCTTTATTTTTCCCTTCTTAAAACATTACCCCCTTCCCCCTCCCCCCCCACACAACCCCCCCCCCCCACTCTGCGTTCTTCCCTGCTTTCTGTCTCATGTTCTGTCCCCCTTGCTACTGTACAGCGCTGAGCAAACCCTTTGGCGCTATATAAATACTGTATAATAATAATAATAATAATGTAACTTGCGTGCTCAAGATAATTCTTCAACAATTTACTGATCTGCTCCAGGCCAGTGTTTAAAATCGCACTGATGCCAGCCAAAGCCAGGCAACTAGTATTTTCATATGGAGCTCAGCAATGGTAGCTCCTGTATGTCTCTCATGACAGGTTTACAGCAATTATGATACAGGCTTAAAACTTTTGTTCTGGTTACTTTTCAGCAGCTTTGTGATGGACATCTTGCCAACCCCCTTGATGCACATGCCCACTTATCATAGATTTTAGGCAAGGTTGACCCCGACCGACTTCTGTGGAACAAAGAGGGCCATGCGCAGACTGAAATTTGGCCAATCTCTGCTGAACCTGCTAAATGTCGATCTGTGTGTTCCCAGTTTAAGACCAACCACAGACATGACCTGACCATTAAACACAACTGCTCTGTAGATGTGTTATGGTGGGGGGATCAATAATGGTTGTCTTGATTATATACCCAAAGATTGGTTGCCCAGGAGGTGACTGCAGGCCTTACAGAGGATTGGGCAATGATCCCATGCCCATGGCTAGTCTTAGACCGCAATCAGCAGGAACAACACACCTACACATCACTAACGCACTTTAATAAAACATAATTAACATCATGGAACAGCTTAGAGAGATAACAGCTAAAGTCAGGACCTGCAGTGAACAACGCAGGCGTCATATGCCCATATATAATGTTTTTTTTAAGTATTATATCCCTTGTAAAATACACACTAATACCATATCATGCCAGATGTCAAATGATGCCACAATACGATACCTGTAAAATCCTGTACCTGCAGTTATGTCACAGTTCGAACATGTATTCCAGGATAATTTACTGAAAACTTCTGCTTTATTAACATGAATATGCAGGTAAAGGTACTCGTAAATAACAGTCACGTAAACCAGCCATTTTCTGCAAGTTCACGGGACAATCTCACATCTCTAAAGCAGGCCACACATTATACATTTTTGTTTCCTCCAACCACGGGTTGCAGGAAAGAAAAAAAAAATCGCTCAATTCCCCCATTGTGTTCCCAGCTGGCAGAACACAATGATCACAGCTTGCAGCTATAGTCGCCGGCAGTGACAAAAGAAAAAACCTGACAGGCTGGTTGTACTGAAGTCGAACAATGGATCGACTGAAGTTGAACAATGGATCGACTTCAGTACAACCAACCTGCCCATAGATGGGTTGAATCTAGGCCAGCCCCTGCAAAACCAACGGAGATTCGATCCATCTATGGCCGGCTTTATGGTGACAACAGAGTCTACACTCCTCTTTACTCCCCTGGAGCAAAGACAGCATGGACAGGGTTAATTATGGCAATCCTAACTCCCCAGCTCCTTTCATAACATTACATTGACATGGAAACCTGGGTAGGTTTTTGAAGCAAGTAGAAAGGTAAGTAGCAATGTTTTAACACTGTATTTTAGGTCATGCTATGTGAATGGGAACATGGAACAAAATATACACTCACCACTTTATTAGGTACACCTGTTCAATTGCTTGGTAACACAAATTGCTAATCAGCCAATCACATGGCAGAAACTCAAATGCATTTAGGCATACAGACATGGTGAAGATGACTTACTGAAGATCAAACCGAGCATCAGAATGAGGAAGAAAGGGGATTTAGGTGACTTCGAACATGACATGGTTGTTGGTGCCAGACAGGCTGGTCTGAATATTTCAAAAACTGCTGATTTAGTGGGATTTTCACATACAACCATCTATAGTGTTTACAGAGAATGATCCGAAAAAAGAGAAAATATCCAGTGAGTGACAGTTGTGTGGAAAAAAATGACTTGTTGATGTCAGAGGAGAATGGGCAG